TCCCTGCCCTAAAGCTCTGATCTCCCCAGGGCACAGGGAAGCCCAGGCTCACTGGCTGCACTCAATGTGCCCTTACCTGAGCAGAGATCACCTCAGAGATCCTGAGAACAAACAAAATGTGCATTTTGAGAATCCAGGGCCCCACTCAGAAAGGACATTTATTGCTAGAGGAGTGCTAGTGCTGCAGCACCTTTAGTTTCTGAAAAATGAAGTTCCTTGGCAATGCAAGTGGATGTTACCAACAAGGCTTGTTTCTCTTGGCAACAAACAGCAATAATGATGTAATTATTTAGAGAAATTGTTCCTGATTTTCCATAAGGCAGCAGGGCCCCTCAGACACTGCCCCAAACATGACAGCAGGACAGGCACCAGAGCCTGGCAAACTGCAGGGTAAAAGCCAAAAGCTGTGAACAAAACTCCTTCTAGTGTCATAAAATTAGTTTATCATTCATCTTCCCCACTCCCATTTCCCCCAGAACAAAGTGCAGTTGCTGGTTTATGGATCTGCTCAGGTCAGGTGTCACCTGTCACACAGCACACCCTGCTGAACCTGGTTCTGCTGCCCCTGCTGTGCTCATGGTTTGTTTAAAGTCAATAAAAATACTGCCCTCAAATGCACTGAAGAAGCAACATAAAAGACTAAGCTTTTATGATATATAAACTGCAAAATACCCAATAATTTAAGGCAAAATCAGTGCAATTAAACAGTTTATGATCAGAGACACTAATTAAAGCATAATAGACTCCTGTGACAGGCTGAACTGAAAGTATTTGGTCACTGGAGTAATTTTCCTGTGTGTGTGAAAATAGCTACATTTTTAGTGTCTGAAACTTTAACTCTGCAAGAGCAGTTTACTGGAAAGAGCTGAGCAAAGAATTATCATCATCTCCTATTTATTACTTGAATTTACTTAAGAACATGATTTTGTATTGTTTTTGAAGCATATCCAACCCATGAATAGAATAAGAACTTTTCCTTTAGTTGTGATTGATTATTCTTGAACCTTTTATCAGAGGATTAGCTATTGACTCTCAGCAAAATAATTTTGAGCAATAATTCAGTTGTGGCTTAATGAGAATGTTTTGCATCCAGGGAACAGATTTTCTGCCAAAAAGCTAATTTAAATGTTTCAGTTTATGGAATGCTGGATCTAATACCTTGAAACATTTCAATGCATACATACAGCATTTGTTTGAATTATCCATTCTGGTTTTAGGGACATAACTAATCATATGTTTGAGTTTAAGCATATGAGTAGTCTCTCTAAGCTTAATGCAATTAAAGCAGATTAGTTTAATGGAATTGCTCATGTGCTTGAAAAGGCACATGATTACATTTCTGAGTTATGAACTATTTGAACTCTTTTTCTTACTTATTTCTGCTGCATCTAAAGACTTAACTCTACTCAGCACATTCATTGGTGTATAAGGGCCTAAATAAGTTTTTTCTCTTACTTCCCCAGCCTTTCAAAGTCTCATGGAAAGTGATTTCTCTGTTCCAGTGAGAAAGGATCCCCAAGGTGACAGAGTTAGGGGTGTGCACA